GAAGTTGTCAAACAAGGTGGAAAAATTTATATTTGGAGTTTAATATGGATATTGACTTGAAACAAATTAAAATTGAAACTTTGTCAGTAAACAGATTACTTTTAATTTACCTTTAAGTTAAGCCCAATTTAATAAATAGATCTGATTAAACCTTATACTGTAGGTCTACCTTTACATCTGACCAATACATAATTAATATATATTATTATTAATAATAAAATCTTCAAATCACAAGACATTGGCTTTATTCTTAATCTTCCACTCTGCAGTTGGAATATAAAGTATAAAAGACTAAAAAGAGATTTTCGTAGACATCCCAGCCTTTGAGCTACCCAAGCAACCAAAATAGCAAAGTTTCGCTGTTGGGCAAGCTTCCACGCCAGCTGCCTTTCTTTCTTCTCCCTTTGCCTCTTTTTAACCTCACACCTTTTGTAAGGGAAGGCAAAAGGCTCACTCACCCTCTCGTGAAAGATGGCCTCCATGTTTATGTGTCTCCCACTGCCACCATCGGCTTCCACACCACATGATCTAACCCAGCCAATCAAGCCACATTCTGGTTGTGGTCTCCAGCACCTTATGGCTCCTCCTAGAGGAGGCAGACAAAGCCGGAGGGGACCCCACTCACACCATACCGCCAGCAGGGCATTTTCAAAAGCAAACAAAGATAGGAAGAGCAACAATAGGAAAAGAATGCAACTCTGGAAAATCCATCAAAAAAGGTGCTGGAATTCCGTTCTGGTGCGTTCTATGACAAAAAAAGCCCTAGTTACTACAATAATCAAAGGAACAGGTCGTTCTTTCATTCCAACAATTTATGTAGGTGAACGTTTGGAAATTTTATTTTCCTTCTCCTTTAAAGATGCTACCTAGTAGGACCTCTCATTTTCTCATCATGCAAAAAATTCTTGCATTTTCTTTCAGAGGAATTTCTGGGCAGGGCCTGAAATGAAAAATGAAATATCCATCTTTTCAGCTGCAAAACCATGTCAAATGAATAGCTCAGCTGGTGCATGCCAGTTTCAAACATCCAGATACGTCACAGAGGAAGTAGAGAAGATAAAGGAGAAGTAAAACTCCAGATACTAAAATAAATAATAGGTAGAGGGCTAAAAGAGAACTAAAACATGGAAGATCCTGATTCTACCCCAGTGACCCACCCAGTCCCCAACAAATGCTGGGTTAGTTAGGGAGGTATGATCAGCAGGGCAATGGGGAGGGAGATGTTTAGAACAATGATAGAATCAGGGCTGGAAGGGATCTTGGAGATATTCTAGTCCAACCCGCTGCCCAGTGCAGCAGTCCTTTTCATTGAAAATGGAGAAACATACACTATGCGCACTTACAATATGTACTTGTATGACTCAGCCCAGATTTGCAAGGTTGGAAAAAAATAGTTATCATTACTGGAAACTAAGTTTTCTATGATGCATAATTAAATAATACTTTGAAGATTAACAGTAGGCTTTGGAGGATGATGTTTACTGTGTTTGGATGCCATATCCACATTTATTTTCCAGGCTAAAATCTTATTTTTCCATTCAGCATAGATTTGATTCACACAACTGAGGAGTTTCCAGTTATTTTTCTCCATATTCCACTTCAACATTTTGCCTTATGCCAGAGTAATAATTGACTACAATAACATATTTCTGTATGTGTAGGATTTCAGTATGGTTTCACATAAGTTCCTATAGTCTGGTTTCACATGAGGTATAGTTTCACATAAGTTTCTATAGTCTGCAAAGCTTGATTTCTGGCACTAATCATTAAGCATTACATTGTTCAGTCAAATAAAGGAATCTTCTTACAGTTGCCAGCTTTGTATTTAATTTCCTTATCAGAAAATCAGGAGTGGCACTCAAATATAGTTAAATATTTGAATTAAATATGGCCTATTTAGTTACACCTCTGTTTAACAATGAATTCTGTGAACAAATTGAAAGGGTTGCCATGGCAGCCCACAGAGTCCAGTTATAGCCAATTTCTATATCAAAAATTTGAGCAACGTTCACCCGATATCGCACCTTTGAAACCATTTGGTTTTGCCATGTGGATGACACCTTTATGTTGCGGAGTTATAGTGAGGAAGAATTCAAGAAAAGTCTAGAGCATCTTAATAACACCTAACCAAATATTCCATTTGCCATGGAAGAAGATAAAAAAATGCCAACTTGCTTTTTTGGACATTGCCATCATTAAAAGGAAAAATAAATAAATAGCTGAGACAGAGTATATTGTAAACCAACACATACAAATCACTATTGAAATAAAAGGTCTTACACTCATCCTTGCCAGAAAAGAAGTATCATTAAAACTTTCACCAATCATATTCAATGTATTTGTGAGACTAAAAGTTGATCTGATGAGTAAAATATCATGACAGGATTTTACAGGAACTCTGAGGAAATAAGTTTAAAGATACACAAACATTAGCAATTATGACAAATCATGCACAATGCCAAATAGTCCTTGACTTATGACCACAATTGGGCCCAAAATTAATGTTGCTAAGTGAGACATTTGTTAAGTGAATTTTGCCCCATTTAACAAACTGTCTTGCCACAGTTGCCAAGCGAATCATTGCAGTTTTTAAATTAGTAACATAGTAGTTAAGTGACTCTGGTTTAACCCCTTGACTTTGCTTGCCAGAACGTGGGAAAGGTGATCACTTCGCCCCTGGGATACCGAAACTCTCATAAATATGTCAGTTGCCAAGCATCGAATGTTGATCACATGATATAGGGATGCTGTAATGGTCATAAGTGTGAAAAACGATCATAAGTCACTTTTTCCAGTTCTGTTGTAACTTTGAATGGTCACTACGTGAACTGTTGTAAACATCTCAATAACTTTAACATGAAGGAAAAGACTTGGAAAATTGATAAAATCTGGTTTATATCACACCATAATAAAACAGCATTTAATTAATCAACATCATATAGAATCTTCAGTAGTCTCACTTAAAAAACAGCAAACAGCTGCATGTTTCAAAGGCCAATCAAAAATTGGTTCCTTTGGAACGTCTTTGAATCAGACCAATTACAAATTCGCCTGCATGAAGAACCAATCAGCAACTGGCTGTCCATAATTCCAATGACTTACTCCAATTGGACGATAGGTCTTTATAAGCATTAAAGTTCAGTCCTGTTCAGATGTCTGCCAAGAAATGCACTACAGAGTAGACCTTTCTTTCCCCTCTGAAGATTTCAGCCACCGTTACTAGCAAAATATTACAAATACCAAACAATGTCACCATGCAGGTGGTAATGCTAAAAGTATGGGGATATGTAAGGAGTTATTATTCAACAACAATTGAAGGGCTATGTCCCCAGGATAGGACAGGGAATTCATGTTGCCTAATGTTTCTCATTACTGATAAATTGAATATGTACAACTTTATCAGAGTCAACTGATACCATTAGTTCCTGTAATTTAGCAGAGACAAAAGTGTGGTAACCTGTTAAAATGAACAAATGTACTATGGCATACATTCCTCTTCCCCAATTTAGTTCCTTCTAGGACAGTGTGCCTCAACATGCCTGGCTGAGGAATTCTGGGAATTGAAGTCCACAAGTCATAAAAGGGCCAAGTTTGAAGACCCCTGCTCTAGGATCTATCATCATCTAAACTAGGCTGGCTTACATTCTGGTAGTTGTGAGCTAAGCATTTCTGGCACCCAGTTAGGGAAGGCTGGTATTAGTTTTCATGCACTAGATAAGTGCATCCAGTGGTGATCCTTGCATGGTTCAGGAGAGGAGATGTGATGAATGCCAGAATACAATAAAATTAAAACCTTAAATATATGTAAAATGAACAGAAGGACTGATTTGAAATCTACTTAAAAGTAACTGAATTGTTAGCTAAATACTTATATTATCATTTTCCCCTTGTATCTTTATAAAGTCTGCAAAGTATTTCACTTGTCCAGTAAAGTAGACTGTACTATAGAAGTTTATGCCATAATAAATTTGCTGACCGTTCAAAGGGTACAGGTAGCCCTCGACATATGACCACAATTGAGCCCAACATTTCTGTTGTTAAGTGAGACATTTGTTAAGTGAGTTTTGCCCCATTTTACGATCTTTCCTGCCACAGTTGTTAAGTGAATCATCACACTTGATAAGTTAGTAACACGGTTGTTAAGTGAATCTGGCTTCCCCATTGAGTTTGCTTATCAAAAGGTTGCAAAAAGTGATCACATGACCTTGGAACACAGCAACGGTCATAAATATGAGTCAGTTGCCAAGCATCCGAATTTTGATCACATGATCATGGAAATGCTACAAAGGTCGTAAGTGTGAAAAATGGTCATAAGACACTTTTTTCAATGCCATTGTAACTTTGAACAGTCACAAAATGAACTGTTGTAAATTGAGGACTAGCTGTATAGCAGGGGTGTCAACTGCCAGCCTGCAGGCCAGATACGTCATTGCCGAAACTGCTGGCAATGGAAAAAAAGTTGCGATACGTCGCAACACGTCACGTGACGTTGCAAGTTTGACACCCCTGTGAGTTTGGCACCTCCTCCTCCTCCTCTACTTCAAGAGACTACACTGACCATTCCTTGGCTAGTAAGTATTTCCAAAACCTGCCTCAAATATATAATATCTGTAAAGCTCACTCACTTCCTTGGGAAGATGTCAACTAGCTGGCAGAAATCTGGAAACATTAAGGCCAGTGGGATAATTTTCTAGCAGTCTGTGAATAGGTGAATTCATTGTCCTTCATCTCAACCTATTACATAGGATTGAATTTCTGGGGGGAAATGAATGTCATTTTCAGCTCCGATAGGAAAGGCAGGGTATCATTCAAACCAACAAACCAAGTTTTGCAACTGTGTATTACAATTTTCTACCAGTTCCTTTTATGCTCTTTAAAAAATATGGATTTTGCAAAGGCAATTCTGCAGAAGTTAGGAAATCACACACAAATTGCCATTGCAGTCCTAACGGCTTCCCTAAAAGTGTTTTTATTTTTTATACTTCTTAAGTGGGATACTTATCTGCCAGCTCATACTTATCTGCCAGCACAAACAGAGCACAGTCTTTGGAGGCAAATTATTCAGCTGAGAATCTCTGAAGAGACAGTGAAAACCCCCATTTCCTGTCTTTGGTGAAGATACAAATTTGCCACTTTGCTCCAATTCTGTTTATGGTAGAGCAAGACGACAATGTTCTTTGGATGGAGAGTGATTACTCTTGGCTTTCTTCTTCTCTATGGTGTGCCTAACTCTTCAACTGGTAAGATCAGGATGTACCTTGAATATTCTGAATAGTTTGCGTAACAGAGGGAATGTTGATCTTCCTAATGCTATTTAATATGGGGTAGGTTGTTAGCTTATGATAGCAATCAGTTGAATAATTCCATTTTCAAAGCCAGGCCATTGCAAAATGTCCTTCAAACAGGTGGATTGTTTTTTTTCCCCCCAACAAATTTATTTTAAAAGAGCGTGACAACTTGATGAATACGTTTGCAACACAGGAGACTCCCAACTTGAAGGTTCTCATTGCTCATATTGCTGTGCTGTGGTTATTGTTATGTTATTATCATGATATCTAATTCTTCCTGCCAGAAAAGCGCAGCATTTCATTTTTATTGCTCATTTTGTACCGTCACCAACAAAACCAATTAAATAAGCCATCAGACGAGAATGCACGAAAAAGCAGAGGCATGAAGCTTAAAAAATCATCTGGGGCTTGATAAATTGCTATCTTGTTCCTTCCATTGCAGGTTTTGTTTAATGTACAATTAAATGAAGCTGCATTAGAAATAGAATGTAGCACTGATATTTAAACTGTTTTAATGTTAAGAAGGAATAGTTAATTTATGGGGATAACTGGCATTTTCCAGGGAAAGAGGAAACACAGTAAATCCTGATGCAAATCGATAGTTGAGTGAGCTAACCACTAAAAATTTTTACTTAGTATTTTCAGCTGCAAGTATGTTTTACTGATAATAACGAGCAAAACAGGCAGATAAGTGGCTTGTTTATGGTCTAATACTGTGTTCACAGGCAAACTGAACCACAAAGTAATTACATTATAGTTCAATGTGCTATTTTAACTTAGCAAAGGTGATTAGTTTATGGTTGAGAGTTGTTGAAAACCAGACAATGGCTTTCATTCTGTAAACTAGGGATTACTATTGTGTTCTGCAAACACACGGTATAAGGCAGAAGGATAACTGAAAGACTGACCCATAATTTGTTACTAAATTTCTTCATATTTTCTTCCCATAGTCCTTCTGCTATTAATTTTTGTCATTGACCAAACATTCCAAAGGTGGGAAGACATCTAGCCCAAATCCCAGCCTAGTTCAGGAAATCCAACCTGCAGGAAAGGAAAATCTACCAGTTTTCAAGACAGTCTAGAGAAGGTCTAGACCTTTTCAAAGCACAATGAGATTGGAGAATATTTTGTTTCTGGACTCCTCAAGAGCAGATAGGAGACTCCACACACATTAAATGCAAAAAACCCTATTAAATAGTTGCATTTGGACATGTTTCAGTTCTTGGCTTGCTATATGTTGCTTGGAATTTACAATGAGGGTGTGCCCTTGTAATTCATCCCTAAGATTTAAGATTTCTGGAAGTGTACAGATAGTCCTCAACTATTTTTCAAAGTTACAATGGCACTGAAAAAAATGACTTATGACCGTTGAAGCATCCCCACAGTCGTGCGATCAAAATTCAGATGCTTAACAAGCTGGATCATATTTATGACAACTGCAGTGTCCTGGAGTCTTGTGATCACCTTTTGTGACCTCATGACAAGCAAAGACAATGGGGAGGCCAGATTCACTTAACAACCGTATTCCTAACTTAACAACTGCAGTCATTCACTTAACAACTATAGCCAGAAAGGTCGTAAAATTGGGCAAAATTCACTTCAATGTTTCACTTAGCAACATAAATTTTCAATTTAATTACAGCTGTAAGTTGAGGACTACCTGTACTCTCTGAACTTTGAGAGGACACAATGGGTACTATATGTTTGTGTGTGTGTCTGTATGTCTGTGCGTGCGTGCGTGCTTTGAATTAAGCAAGATATTCTATCAAAAGAAATAAATCATCTGATAAAATATTTCTTCCCAGACTGAGAGTTTAAAATAATTGTCCATTTGTAAATTGTTATTCTTGCACAGATACCCTTGGGCAGTTGCCTAATTCGTTAATTCAACCTGGATCTCCTTTCCCTGTAAAGACAAATGACCCTGAAGTTCAAAGAGCTGCTAGGCTTGGGGTTTATAGATACAATAACAGTTCAAACGATATCTCTTTGTTTAAAGAATCTCACATAAATAAAGCCACAAGGCAAGTAAGTACTGCTTGATTCTTCCGGCAATACATGCAATTAATTTCTTTTGCTGGTGAAAAATGCAAAACATACCTGCTTTTTTGCCCTTGTCATGGTGGGAGAGTTATTTTTTTTCTTGAGAAATGGTACAGGCCACTGATAAGGAGGTTAACAGTTGTCTTCTCTGTGGAGGCTTTTATTATGCAAAAAAAAAAAAAAACCTTAACCAGTTTATTTCTTAACTTTCAATTTAGCATGAACACTAAACATATTCTATATTCTATTCTATGCTATTTGCCTATGTATTAGGAATCTAAGTCCTAATGCTATGCCTACTGTATATACCTATGCCTATGTATACAACGAATCAAAGTCCTAAAGAGTTCTATAAACCTATCCTAAAGTTGTTTTTCAAAAGACAACCGGACTTCCTTAGTTTTTTTCCTTAAAAAAGTTTCGCTTCTCAATTCAAGTTTCTCGGATGAGAAGTGAAACATTTTCAAGGAAAAAACCAAGAAAGTCCAGTTGCCTTTTGAAAAAGCACCTTTGAGACAACCATGACCGGGAATATTGAGAATCTCCATAGACCCGTGGTGGTGAACCTATGGCACACGTGCCACACGTGGCACGCAGAGCCCTCTCTGTGAGCACACGTGCCATAGCCCCAGTCCTAGGCCTGCAGCTGGGTTTTATACAACCTTATCACTTTAGGTCTACACTGCCATGTGCAAAAAAAAAAAAAGGTTCAATCAATCAATCAATTTCAACTTCCCGCAGGGAAAAAAAAAAGAACCCGCAAAGTTGGAATTGATTGATTGAACTTTTTAGTCCCATCCAGTCTGCCGTTACCACCGCAGCCATGCCCACCCAATGGGCCACACCCACCCAATGGGCCACGCCCACTCGGCACCCGATGATACATAAATGGGTTTTGGGTTGCAGTTTGGGCACTCGGTCTCTAAAAGGTTTGCCATCACTGCCATAGACAGTCTTATAAACAGTTCTTTCCACCTTTGTGCCTGAGCTATACTGTAACAAATTCTATAGCTACCTTAACGTTGGCTTCTGTTGCTGCTAGTTGTTATTCTGAGTGCAACTGAAGCATTGGTTTTGCACAATCTTACACTCAGAAGGGAGGAATCATACAGCAGCTGTGCTTCCCTTTTCAGTTTTCCCACTGTTGGTGTGCTGGAATCCACCCCAGCACCTCTTTTACCGCCAACCGCTCTGCTCTTTCTCTTAGCAGCTGCTGCAGCCTCTCACCTGCACCTTCTTCCTTTTCTCCTCACCCACCCAGGTATCTCCTTCCAGCAGAGACCCCCTCCCCATGCTCAGATGCTATCGGCCTCTTTCTTTTGTAATTGGAGCCGCATGTATGGTCCAGGGCTCCTCCTGAGGTCTTAAAGTCTCCAGGGGAAGGAGAACCACAAAGATAAGGAAGGGATGGTGTTCACTGGTGCAAAACTCTCCTTGCACATTTCGCAAGATGGAAGGTTCCCTTCAAACCACCCTTGCTTCAGCCATTAGTTGTGTTCTTGTTTCCGACTTTCTGAAAGCTAAAGAAAGAAACGAAGCTATTTTTTATTTCTTGGTCCGGCAACTGCCACAACTATGTTGATGACCAGTTAAATCCAGAGTGATAGCCGTACTTTTTTTTACTGCTGTTGCTTCGGGTTCATGTAAAACCAGAAACTTGTTCCAAAGGTCTCCAATTCCTGGCTAGAGTACCGTACTGCTTTTAGAAACCAGGAAATGTACCTAGCATGGACAAGAATCTGTTTTCTGCTATTATAGCCTGTATCCTTTGAAATTATTATCTTTAAAAATAATTACACAAACTATTTGCAGTTCATCTTGTGAATTGTGTGTACTCAACTGCCTCCAGTTTCATCACCATTTCCCCCCCCCCAACTTTTTGACCTCTCTTTGACCTCTGCTTTCTTTACTTTGCCTGTTCTCGGTGCTCTTTAATACTATGAAAACGGATTTCTTTAGATTGTGAAAGGAGTGAAATACAGACTGGATGTTGATATCCGCCGGACTGTATGCAGCAAAAGAATACCGCATCCCAACTTGGACAGATGTGATTTCCAGAAGAACAGGAGGCTGAGAAAAGTATAATTTGTTCAACTTCTTTGTGTTGTTCAAAGAAATCAGGGGCGGGAAGGAGTACTAGATCTGGACTATAAAAATCTGGACAACCATTAGATGGCAGCGAAGATAAGAGTTTTCTGTCTCTCCTTATTGCCTTCTACCAATTGTCCAGAATTTCACACAGGGCGACTGGTAGCAACAACGGAAGAGCTACTTCTCCACAATAAATTCATTTTGCATGGGATTCACCCTAATAGTTTGAATACTCATGCCTTTCTTACTGTCAACAAATAATTCTAGTTCTTGCTATTTAGCAGAAACGACAGAGTTGCTCAATCTCTTGCCAAATTCCTAACTTGAATGGCCTCGGGGTCTGTTTTTCATGCTGTTAGAACAGTGTAAGCAAACACAAGAAATTCTTTGCTTCACTTTCTTATATTTGCATTGTCCAAGTTTCAGGGAGCCGTGTTGCTTCCAGGATAGGTTTGCTGAGCGACCTCAGCAATTGCCCCAAATTCTCCAAATGACACAAAGAATGATTTCATGGAACAGCTTTGAATTTCCCACAGTGAAAAGATGCTAGATGAAAAATTGGGAGGGGGGAGCAATCATTATAAATAATAAATAAAACAACAAACTTGGATGAGCAGGCGTTAGGTAAATCAAATCAGAGAAATGCATAATATAAGTCCTTGCTTAAAATGGCAACTGGGTCTGGCAACTCCATCACTAAGTGATGTGGTCATAAACTGGAAAATTATGTGACTCTGCCAGTTTATGATGGCAGTTGCGGCACTTCCAATTGCTGTTCTTAAGCAAATACAGTGCAATTGTTATGCCAGGAAATCACGTGATCATGTCTTGTGACTTCCTGCGGTTTTCCCATTGACTTTGCTTATAGGAAGCCAGCAGGGACGGCCGCACGACCAGGGGATGATGCAACTGTCTGAAATGGGGACTGGTTGCCAAGTACCCAGATTATGATCACATGCCTATGTGGAGGCTGCGACAGATACAATTTTAAGGACTGGTCAGAAGCCTCCTTGTTCAGCATCGATGTAACTCCAAGTATTGCTGAACAAGTGGCCAGTAAGCAAGGACTACCTGTTTGAAAAGAGCATCATAGAAGGCTTTCTGCTGAGACCTCTTCAACTCTGGAACTACTTCTGACTGCAGTATCCTGTCACTGCAATGGAAGGGATTAAATTGTGCTCAAATATACAAAAGGAAGATGAAGGCAAATTGTCTAGAAGGGATATCCTTCTAAAACAGGGCTCTTCAAACTTAGCCCTGTTATGACTTGTGGACTTCAAATCCCAGAATTCCTCAGCCAGCATGCCTGGCTGAGGAATTCTGGGATTTGAAGTCCACAAGTCATAAAAGGCCAAGTTTGAAGACCCTTGTTCTAAAATATATTAAAAGGATTATACATTACTAATATTTATTGGTTGTGCAATATTTATTTATTATTATATGTATATGCCGCCTGACGCCTAATGATTCTTAGAATAAATTAGGTGGAAACATTCCTTTGAAAGCTGTTATTTTATAAGCTGACATTGCAATAAGTCACTTATCACGTTGACTGCTAGTCTGACTGAAAAAAATACAACATTTTCTTGTCTAACTTTTAAACAGCTGATGATAGAATTGTAAAGGTGTCAAGGCAATTTTCTAGCTTTTCTCTTTAGTCTGATTTAATGCCTTTGTTTGTTCTTTTCCCCCCTCAGATGTTCACATGCAATTTTGAGGTCTGGCTTATACCTTGGCAGCAGAAAGTCCGCATCCCAGTCATGTTCTGCCACTAATTGGTCTCTAATAAACTTTATAGATATTGCATGTTTATTTTTTGTCAACTGATACACCGTAAATTGTCCATAAAGACACTAGATTGCCAACAGCTGTGGAGTCTTTTGCTTTCTTTGCTTATCTTCTAATGGAGAATGACAAAAGTGTACATGATCTTCGTTTTCTCACCTGTCTTGCTGTGAAGAAAACTTCAGAAAACTTCTTTAGGCTTAGATGAAATGATAAGTCATTTGCACAATATGTCCTGGCTATCATGCTACATAAATAGAATATGGATGACTTGAAAAGGAGGCCCAAGGAAGCAAAATGACAAAACAGTGTCATGCCATCAGCTCCACCTCTTTTGTAGAGACCCTGTGATTTTGCATGCAGGTACTAAAAAGGAGCACATGTAACACAAAAGGGGGAGACTGTTTTGGTCATTTTGATGAAAGCATCAAATCCTACAGACATTTCTGAGACAACATGGAAACGGTAAATTAGTTGTGGTAGAACAGATACAGACATTATATAGGGCTAATGCACACATAACAGGGATAATAAGGATCTAACAATGAAATTGGGCCAAGCACAATACTGTAGGATTACTGATACACACGGAAGTGTGTGGGGGAAGTGGGGGAGTATCAAAGAGAAACAAGAACCTATGATATGATGGTAATAAGGAACAGAAACTGCTGTTAATATGCCAACAGCCTCTTCCCTTTTCAAGAATCACTAGAACAGGGGTGTCAAACAGCTGGCCCGTGGGCTGGATGCGTCACACGGAAGCCACACTCACCCCAGCTCCAGCAAGGGGAAAAAAGTCATGATACGTTGGGACACGTCATGTAACGTGGTGAGTTTGACACCCCTGCACTAGAAGACTGGATTCAAGTCATCCATCTCAAGCACAAACCATGCATCAACCTTCTCTCAAACTGTATCTTCCTGAGGTGACTACAACTCCCCATAATTCCTAGCCAGCATGGCTAAAGCTGAGTTTCTGCAAATGGTAATGCTGTGTGTTTAGAACAGGGCTTTTCAAGCTTTTCACCCACTGTACCACTTTTAGGATATGGCAACATCCGAGTACCACCAGTCGCCTAGCAAGGTGTCAAAAACTTGATGACAAAAAAAGGAAAAAAGTGATAAAGTACAGGTAGTCCTCAACTTATAACAGTTCACTTAGTGACTGTTCAAAGTTACAATGGCACTGAAAAAAGTGCCCCCCAAGCCACAGCCGAGCAAGACACCTGCCTGCCCGCCCACCCGTGCTCTTCCTCCTGTCTGAGGTTTTCATTGTTGTGAGCATTTCTGTTGAGGATTGGCAGCGGAGGTGGGGTGTGTGTGTTTGGTTTTTATTCCCCTCGTCTGCTGGGTGGTTGCATCAGGTTTTGGTCACTTCACATGACCCTGGGACACCGTGACAGTCATAAATACAAATTGGTTGACAAGCATCTGAATGTAAATCACAAGACCCTGGAGATGCTGCAACATTCCAGCTGATCGGCCCTTCTTCTGGGCTCAGCAGAAGCACCAGGATCAGTGGTGCTTTCCAACTGATTAGTGCTTCTTCGGGGTTCAGCAGAAGCACCAGGATCAGTGCCGAGCTTCAGCTGGAGCCTGGCGCTGATCCTGGCGCTTCCGCTGAGCCCTGACAACCCTGCAGCTCCAGCCATCTCTCACTCAGGCTTGTGCGGTGCTGCCACCGATTCAGCTCATTCCCCTCCCCCGCTTTTCTAGCGTGGTCACGTACCACCTGCCAAGTGCCAATGTAGCACAGGTGGTACCCGTACTACTGGTTGAAAAGCCCTGGTTTAGAGGGTCTAAGAATGATGAAGGCTGATGGGTCTGCTGCTATTATCACTGCCATTCTTCCATGCATTTAACTAACAACATAATTAGATTGCTATGTCAAGCCTATGCTTTCTATTATTCTTTGGAAAAGAGTGAATAAAATGTTATCTACTAAATTTGACAATAAAAAAACTCCTCTGCAATGTCTTGTTTTCCAACTCTGTAATGCTCCCAATTTAATCAGTTGCAACCTACTCATCAGATACTGTTCCCCATAGGTACAAATGTATTCTTCAGTCTTTAATGTATACAACAATTTCCACAACAAAGAGTGCAGCCTTTACTAGTAATATACTGACCGATTAAGAGGATTAAATTCTCCACTGATTAAGAAGGCAAAAAGACATTTGGTAATCTAATAATTATTACATATATAGTTCTGTGCAAAATTGCCTTTTTAAAAAAAATTGTAAAAATTTCCCACTAAATATCATTAAAGAGCCCCATGAGGCTCCTACTAATACATAAATGGAGTCTGAATGAACAACAAAGTTTACAATTTATGCCATTTATTTCAAAAATAAATCAAAAATAAACTTTGCCATCCAACAATGGCAAAGATACAGAAAATCCCAAAAAAGACAAATATTTTAATAATGAACTATAACACCTATATTTTGATTTGTTTTTATGTTTGACAGTTGAAGTGAAATGGCCAGCTGGTCACTGGGGTTATAAAAAACCCACATATATTCATTTGTTCAAAGGTGAATTTTCCTTTGAATAAGGAAAATTTTCTTTCCATTTTCCATTCTATTTTTAAAATGTGTATTTTAATGGTTTTCAAACCTCAGCAACTTTAAGATGCATGGACTTCAACTCCCAGAGTTGAATGCTGGTTGGAAAACTCTGGGAGTTGAAATCCAGAGCAGCTTAACATTGCTAAGGTTAAGAAACACTGATCTAACTTTTATTCTTTTTTAAAAAAAATGCAGAGCACTCAGCTCAGGCGCCATTGGATTTGGAATAACACCTACCACTTTTACAATTCTGGAGAGTTTTCAATATGAAGAGAATAACAGAGTTGGAAAGGGCCATGGAGATCTTCTAGGGTTGTCCTATCTCTGAAATGGTATAGGGTTTCCTGCCTGAGCAGGGGGTTGGACTAGAAGACCTCCAAGGTCTCTTCCAACTCTGTTGTTCTGTTATTATTTTATTATCATAAATTAAGATTTCCTGATCTTCAAGAGTGTTCCAACTTTGGAGAAATAGCAGTCAGTCCAAGCCCAGATGAATAGAGTTGCCTCTTGCAAAGTCACAAGCAGCAGAAGGAAAAGTGATTTTTCTTCGGCTAACTTTTCATAACAGAGAACTGGAGAGCCTTGGACGAAGCACCAAGAATTTCTAATATAGATATTCCTAGAGTCCCTGAAGAGGAGAACTTAAATTGCAATTAAATTTGAAACATTGTGTGATTACATTAACTGGATATTTTCAAAGGGGCCCTATTGCATTTGGAATGCATTTCTGTCATCAAGATTTTTGTTACGGGCTTGGTGGCTCAGTATAGTTGGGGAATAATTTCTCACTGAGCACTAACAACAACAACAAAAAAACATAGTTTGTTTCCTAGAACGCATTTAGAATGTGGTAGTAATTTGAGAAGTAATTTTTTTACCATCCTTCCTATTAAAAATGGGAAGATTCAGTGGCTGGTTTCTAGTATTATTGGACAAACTGCATTGTGCAATTGGTTATTTCCATAGTCTAATGTGCATTGTGTACAGTATACAGCTCAGTATAATTTCACATGGCCTCTTCCTGCTGAGTCATTGCCTGGTAGTGATTCACTGAAACCCTTAACAGAAATCCACTATATTGAGTGTAGAACAAAGGGAGGTCCAGGTAAACCAAATCTGGTTATGCAATTGTCCTTTAGCAGCTATTAAGGGGGGGAAACCAGAAATGATTGCATAATATAGGGTTATACAGTGCAATCCCTGTCCCTCAGCCCAACATATCTCACACAGTTGTTCCAGAGAAAAATGGGAGCAAGCACAAACTGCTTTGAGACTCTGAACAAAAGGCAGAATGTAACTCTAATGTAAGGTCACTTGACCTTTTTTACCTGCCATTTTGAGAATGAGGATAGGTAACCATGTGATTTAAAACAAAACAAAGTTAATCCGAAAAGCTTCACTCTTTTTGGAGTGAAGGGTAAGTACTTTAATCTGTGTGTGACATCTCTGCTGATGCGCCCCATACTGTATATTGTGCATGCCTTCATCTGTGCTGTTTTTGTACAGAAACCTCCAAAAGAAAGCTATATCCAATTTAAAACCTCTAATTAGGGAAATTGGAGTATGTAATAGCCAGGAATAAAATCGATGAGGTCGTCGGCAAAGACTGTCCAGATGAAGTTGAAAAAAATAAGACGGTTTCCTGCCTTTCGGCTAAGATCGAAGTTAGTACAGTATACAAAAGAAGGATTATGCTGTGTTTGCCCAACCTAGGCGGTTACTTGACTCAACTTTTTGCGTTTCCACAATACGTGCGCCTAAACCAGGGTTGCCTAAACTGTATCTTCGCTGAACATCTGACTGCTACGGAATCGGCGTCTCCTTTAGATCGGTTTTCCCCTCCGCAGCAGATGATTGTGCTCCTTCTCTGCAGTTCAGTATCTGGCTATAGGAAGAGGGAGACCCCCTAAGCAACCATTTCTGGTTAGAAGGTGGCTTTGCGCTTATCCTTACACCCATCCACTCAAGCCACTGAGAGCCGCGAGCAAAACCTTTGAACGCAGCAGCATGTAAACCAAGCCGAGCGAGAGGCCAGCAGCATTAGGGCAAACGCCCTCCTTCCGAGACGGAATTTGTTTCTCTCTTTCGCCTCCGCTGGAGATTGACTGATATCGCAGCCAATCCGAGAGGCTGGAAAAGTTCTGCCCGTCTAGAGGTAGCGTAAGACGGGACGCGGCCGAGGGCAGAAAAGTTAACCCTTTCGACCCCGATGAGGGAAGAGGCGGGATGTGGCTGCCTCGCCCGCGTTTTGCTTTCTGCCCAGTTCCCTTCCGTCCTCCTCGCCGCGCTGCCGCCGCCGCCATGGCCCAACTTCGAGCCTCTTCCTCATCGGCCGCCACCTTTGACTACCTGGTGCTGGGGGGCGGCTCGGGTGGGTTGGCCAGTGCCCGGCGCGCCGCGCAACTGGGAGCCCGAACTGCTGTGGTTGAAAAAGGGCGACTCGGAGGCACTTGCGTGAGTCGAAAACGGGGTGTGGCCGGGGGACGAGGAAGGAAGGGGCTGCCTGCAAATATACCCTTAGGAGACTCGCCTGCATACCTGATGCGTGGGCTTATGCCAGGCAGGGCGTTTCTCAAGAGCCGGGGGCGTAGAAGTTTTATGTTCTTCATCCATGGGGCGGGCAGGGCAGAAACAGTTAAAAGTTTAAACGATGTTTTAATTTGGTTTTTGTGAACTGTTTTCGTGCCGTGCGAAATTAAGGCTGCGATTCAGGTGGCTGTGGGAAACCCAGCAGCCTTCGTTTCAGCCTGTTATGTGAACACAGCAGTTGGGTTTTGTTCCTTATGCCCGGGTTAGGGTGGTGTTATTGCAGCTCCGTGCCTTACGACATATCAACTCTTCTTGCATCCAATATACTTTTTCTTTTTTTCTAACCCTCAAGGCAGGAGAAATATGACTCAGTAGAACCATCACTTATGTGCCAATTCACTTTTCAGGAAGTGCTTTGCTCTTTACGTTTCCCCCCCCCCCCCGTCTTTCTTGTCTTTACCCTTCTATATCTCAAGCAGGAAGCACAGGATATTTTTAATTATAATTTCTTATTTATCTCTTCTGTGTCTATGAGATGCCTTTAGAGGAACATAACATTATCGATGGGTCCTTTTGATTGTAACAAGCTGTTCTGTATTATAGTGTTTATAGAACGTTTCCAACTGTTAATCTTTATTTCTTCCTAGTTGGATTTATAGCTATCTCTATGGCATAATTAGTTGTTAGTCCCCTATATGCTATACAGAAAGAAATAAATAGATTGTGCCTGAAGAAATTATTTTTAAAAACTTAACAGACCAAACACTAAACATGTCCTTATTGGCACTGAAGTTATAGTTTGTTGAAGAAAAATGGCAAATTAGTTGTGGAAAGAATGGTTGGCAATATTAAAATTGACTATTTGGTAATGATGCAAGGATGCAAAATATGAGTGAATAAAATTCCAGAGAAAGGGACTAAATAAGGAATAAAGTTTAGAATGTACATTCAAACAACTTATCTCTAAACTGTTTTCTGTCATTAAAAAGAGCAGCCTTCCGAAGTGTAATAACCCTTCAAAAGTTGTGAGACTGTAGTTTCCGTAGCTCCCATCCTTTGTGTTTGCTGGGAATCTGGAAGATGTTGAAATTACATAACTCTAGGGAAGGAGAAAGAAAAGAGAGAAGGTTGATTAGCAGCAAGATGGTGTGCTGTTGGTAGACCTTAAAGAGCAGATTGGGGAGAGCTGATTGTGGAGAAGATTTTTGTAGTTGCTAACAGCCAGTGCCAATTTGTAGGCACTTAATCAAGGAGGATTGCAACATCTGGAGGAGTCCAATGTTGAAAAGATTTTACTAGAATGAAATGTCCATGAAAGACTCATTCTGAAAGCCCTACTTTAGGCATTCAGTGGAATCTGTGAACATGTCAGTTGAATGTGTTGACTGGGTTATGAAATGGCTTGCTTTGAGAACTAACACAGATTCTTTTCAAGAAGAAACCAAGGGGCAGGCAAATCACTCAGGGACTTTGTTTTCAAAGTGCCAGATAAAAGGTGCTTTTTCATGCAAACTTTAATCAGATGTAAACTATTCCTAGGTACTTAGAAAGACAAGAGTACTCATGAAGCCCCTATCCAGGTACTGACCAACCCAATATCTACCTAAATAAATAATGAAATGTGCTTCAAATTTGTTATAATAAATTAAGAACTAATCTCAGGCTAATGAATGCAGGATTCAAGTGGTTTCTTATTATTATGATTATCCATATTCCCAATGGCATTCTCAGTGGTTTACCCAATCCATGGAGCTTATTGCAATGAAAATAAAATGTTCCCTCATTCCTTAGATATTGGGCATTTGAGGCAGGTTTCAGCGTACAGCACTTTCATGTAATCACCTCTTGAAAAATACCTTAAGTATACTACATTACTGATACACATTTTGCTGATATTAAGAAAATAAAATTAATCATAAATTAATAAATTAAGGTTTTAGTAGTTGTACATACTTTCTAAATAACATACTTGCTTATATTAAAAGTGTTGATACATGAAATTTGCAGTAAATATGTTTTTTTTTTCTTTTAGGTGAACGTTGGATGTGTACCTAAAAAGGTAAAGGAATTTATGTGTGCTATGAATTTGCTAATATTTCAAAAAATACGTTGAACTTCTTTGCTGATTTTTTGAAACTGCTTGAAGAATCAGCTGTTTCGGAAAACTTTGTCCTGAATTGATTTGATTTGATGTTTTATTTTCTCCCTTGTATTGTAGGCCTTTTTAAAAATTGGGCAGTGATTGTTTTGATTATGGTGCTAAAGAAGGGTGTTTAATAAAAACAAAAGAAAAACATGAAAGTGGACACTAACCCTCAAAATCTGCTAAAATATGCTTTTACATTATTGATGGGTATGAATATCCTTTATTTGGAATGCAAAACAATACTTTAGCAGATGTTGGGCATGTTGTTTGGAAAGCAAGATAATTGTAGTGCAAGACATCTGAAGAACAGTGTTGTTCTTTTACCCTGCTTTACCAAAATACATAACAAAAATACCAAGTCATAAAAAGTACCTCCTAATTTTTTTCTCTCAAGGTTCAAGGAAGACATGGATGTGCTTCTTGTCATGAAAGATAATTTCTGCTGCCTTTTACAGCTGTTTTCATAGCTTTTTAAATTTAGTCCTGGTCTGAGGAGCAGATGTGTGGAACAGCATTAAAGTTGAAAAGAAAATATAATTTATTAAATCTCCATTTTCATGTGCAAGTCTAGCGGGTCTAACATAATCCAAATTGCATGCAGTAATTGTACTGAAAGGACAAAAATCATAAGATTTAAAGAAACTTTAAAACTGGTGCCAATTGAAAAAAACTGATCTGTTTCCCCCATCCCCTATTTGACCTTTGCATTTTTGGAACAGCTGCAGCAAAATTGATAAATGGGGATTGTCTATTCTGCCCTTTTGGAACTCCCATTAGCTTCTGTCCTGTCTTGGATGATGCTTTTCCTTCTGTTGGCTGCTAATTAAACATACCATTTTTAAATAGTAAAAAAATGTCCCCAAACTGTATTTGCCAATATGAGCAGTCTTACAGATCAGAAGTAGGAAAGGTTAGTTGGCATAGTTTGCCTCCCAGAGTTGTGGGTGCTCCATCACTGGAGGTTTTCAAAAATAGAGTGGACAATCAGTTGATTGAAATGATATATAGTCTTCTTCTTGAGCCGAGGTCTAAACCAGGGCTTTTCAACCTTTTCACCCACTGTACCACTTTTAGGATATGGCAACATCCGAGTGCCACCAGTTGCCTAGCAAGGTGTCAAAAACTTGATGACAAAAAAAGGAAAAAAGTGATAAAGTACAGGTAGTGCTCGACTTACAACAGTTCACTTAGTTACTGTTCGAAGTTACAGTGACACTGCCCCCCAAGCCACAGCCGAGCAAGACACCTGCTTGCCTGCCCAGCCACGCTCTTCCTCCTGTCCGAGGTTTTCATTGTTGTGAGCATTTCTGTTGAGAATTGGCAGCAGGGGTGGGGTGGGGGGTGTGTTTGGTTTTTATTCCTCCTGTCTGCTGGGTGGTTGCATCAGGTTTTGATCACTTCTCATGACCCTGGGACACTGTGACCGTCATAAATACGAATCGGTTGACAAGCATCTGAATGTAAATCACAAGACCCTGGAGATGCTGCAACATTCCAGCTGATCGGCCCTTCTTCTGGGCTCAGCAGAAGCACCAGGATCAGTGTTGCTTTCCAGCTGATTGGTGCTTTTTCAGGGCTCAGCAGAAGCACCAAGATCAGTGCCGAGTTCCAGCTGGAGCCTGGCGCTGATCCTGCGCTTCCGCTGAGCCCTGACAGCCCTGCAGCTCCAGTCATCTTTCGCTAAGGCTTGTGCGGTGCTGCCACCGGTTCAGCTCATTCCCCTCCCCCGCTACCACTTTTCTAGGATGGTCACATACCACCTGCCAGGTGCCAATGTACCACAGGTGGTACCCGTACCACTGGTTGAAAAGCTCTGGTCTAGACAAGAGACCTTTAAGGTGCCTTTCAGTCATATAAATTTATGTTCTATGATTAAGATGATTTACATGGGTCCAAATAGATAATATTCTGATATTGATGGTATTTGCTGTGTTTTTGAAAGAAGTTAATAACTTTCAAGTTCCTTTTATCAGGCTTAACTTAAAAGAGGATACCACATATTCACTCCTCCTCTTCCTCTAAGATGGGAACTGATAAATTGGTTGACCAGGCTCATATATATTCAGTTAGGCACAACTGAACATCGTGCATTAGCCACACGTGGTTTGGTCTGCTGGGTATTGAAAAATACGACTGTTTTGCCAAGTGCCAATGATTACAAGACGAGAAGCTTGTTTCTTCTTCATAGGCCGTAATATGTAGTGTAACTACTGGATTACACATATCATGCAGTGATGAGTTATGAATCCTGATCTGTCCAGTCTTAGAGTAGGAACGTCAAGTTTTGTACTTCTCTCTTGCTGCAGAGTGAGGAGATGGACAATGTAGAAATATGAATGAATGAATGAATAAAATTATTGATTTATGTTGTATACAAGAAAAAGTGAATTTGCTCATTCATTTTTATATTACTTATATTAAACTTTGGATGTTGTCTTTTATAACAGGTGATGTGGAATACTGCTGTTCATTATGAATTCATCCATGATCATGTGGATTATGGTTTTAAAATAGCTGATGTGAAGTTTAATTGGAAGTAAGTTGAGCTAAATTCTGGAATATCTCTTAAGTAAAATAAATGGATAGAGTTGTTTCTAATTTGAAACTTACACATATCCAGATTTTTATCTGTGGGATTGTATGGGATTCCAACACTATCACAGTGGTGGTGAACCTTTTAGAGACTGAATGGCCAAACTGCAACCCAAAACCCACTTAAGTATCACCGGGTGCCCAGAGGGCGTGGCCCACTGGGTGGGCGTGGCTGTGGTGGTCATGGCAAACTGGACGGGTATAGCCAAGGTTAGCATGGTCACCTTGATGTTGCTTATGGGGAGGGATGCCTGTGGGGGGCGGGCAGGGTTGGGGAAGATCCAGGGGGTCTCTGGCAGATGGGGTGGTGGGCAGGAGGCTCGTCCTGCGGGGTGAGGTGAGGCAAGGTAAGGCAGGGTGGGGGTGCCATTGTCACAGGGCAAGGCGAGGTAGGGGCTAGGGCGGCTGCTGCCTGAAACCATCGGCCCACACACACAGAGGCCAGCGAGCGCATGGGGGCTGACAGTGTCCGTCAGCAGTCACAGCCTGCCAGCCCCTCGACTGGCGCACTCTGGGGCTCCGCAGTCCGCCACCAGCAGTTCAGAGAAGCCGCCTCTGAGCTGGACGGCCGGCTGACAGCTGAGGAGGCGATGCAGTGGGTCATGCCTGGGAAAAGGAGAGCATGCGAGGCCAGGAGAGATGGGACGGGAGGGGGAGGAAAACCAGCCATGTGGGACCTCAGTGAATTAGCGGGCAGCTGGTTGAAGAGGGACGGTTGCCATCTCCGGGGCATGGTGCACGTGCCCACAGAGAGGGCTGTGAGTGCCGCCTCTGGCGCACGTGCCATAGGTTTGCCACCACTGCTCTATCAGATCTGAAGAATCTCTGTTGTGGACCAAAACTGCCTAGCATTTATAATTTAAAGCTACACAGTTTAATATAGTGATATTGTTTTTATTCTAAATAATCTCACTTTGATTTTTGAGTTATCTGTGAGCATTATTCTTAAATTCTTATAAGAAATCATGATTGGACTGGGACTCGTGAAAATTCAAAACAGTACATGCTCAGAATTTAATTCTGAGCCTACTAATAGTTCATATATTAGGGTTCCCTGTGATATGCACTGAGATACACCATTTGTATTGTTTAAAATGCTGTTTTAGGTATAACAAACAAATGGTATTTTGTTTGATGTACAGTGTGCTATAGGATGGTATAAACATCTTTACTGCAAGGAAAACTTTTTTAAATTGTGAAACAAGACTATAATTTTCTGCATAATACCTATGTTTATTACTTAGGAAAAAGGTACCTATGCACTATTGTGTTTTAATTCGGTTTGTGGGGAGATAGATATTTGAGATGTAAATTTAGAAAGCCCATGTGGAATAACAATTTGAATAAGGCTTGGGAAACCCAACTTTATGCTTAGCTGTGGAAATCCATTGGGTACTTGGGTTGGGCTGTCTCTCCACCCAGCCTGCCCAAAAGGTTTATTTTTGTGGGGATATGTTGAAAGAGGGGCGTTATGTGCTTCTTGGGGAAAAGTAGGATATAATACTAATAAAACTCTTTTTACTATAGAATAATTAAAGAAAAGCGTGATGCTTATGTGAAGAAACTGAATGAGATCTATCAAAATAATTTGAATAAGGTTTGTAAATGGCCTTATTTTTCAATTTCAGCGAATTTTAAATTTCTTCTTTCTGCTATGAACCCTGTGAATTTCACAAGCTGAAAACAGAAAGTTCTGTGTTGGTTAATTTTTAAAATTTGCATCCAGGTGTATAGCATTTAAAAAAAAAAGATTCAGAGCAAATCATTTGTGTAAAACTTGCTTTTTTTGCTTAAGTGATAGATGAGCAAGCCTTCCTCTACACAAATTTCAGTTTCCTGTTGTTGGAAAAGACATGAAAACTGTAGTGTAAATTTAACATAAGTACAGTACAGTTAAAGAAAAAGCACAAGTCTTACCCTTCTCTCTTGAGAAAAACTGATAGGGTATGTCTTAATTCATTGCAGTTAGTCTGCATTTCAAATCTACAATTTTCATGGTCTTGATATAATTTTCATGTGACTTGTATAGTTTGTTTCTGAAGAGTGTAAGGATTACACAATAGATTAGTTCTTGTCAAGAAAATATGGGGGAATAATCTAAAGTAAAATAATGCATCTTAGTCCACTCTTCCATTTTGAAATTTATTTACAAATTTATTTTGAATCATTCAAAAAGTTCAAATTATTTAAATGTGTCATACATTGGCCCACATTACACTATATTATAAGATGCCTTTCTCTAGTATATAAATTGATTTAATTTTTAAATCAAAAATTGGTTTTGCTAGGACCACGTGGAAACCATTCTTGGGCATGCATCGTTCACAGCTGACCCTGAACCCACAATTGAAGTTGATGGCAAAAAATATACAGCACCTCACATACTGATTGCTACTGGTGGACGGCCTACAATTCCCAGTGAAAGTGAGATACCAGGTATGGGTTCTATGATGCTCTTTGCCCAGTTTTTATGAAAGAACGTGCAGCTGAGCTGACATTAAAATGTTTTCCTTAGCGTTGTCAAAGATTCAGTCGTACACAGTTACCTTGTAATAGTTCATTCATACTTTTTTAATAGCATACTTTGAAAAATAATTAAATAACCTTTCAGAAAAAGTGAATGTTTGTGCAAGTTACATCTATTTATACACAAAGCTGAAGATTACGAATATTGAAGATAATGTCTTGTTGCTTTGCAGGAGCCAGTTTGGGAATCTCTAGCGATGGTTTCTTTGAACTTGAAGATTTGCCCAAGTAAGTTGCAATGCATTCTGAGCATTTTAAATATTCTCAGTTTGCGGCATTGCCGCAAAGATTAGTTTGTAAAACGAATAGGGATTATTGTACTCCAGTCTTTCATTCCCCACTAAAAGATGTAGACAGTAAGCTAGTATAGCTACAAAGCTGCAATAATTGTCCCACATTTCAGAATTGATGACCGGTCCTGTACCACTCTTATCAGCCCAGATAGGGGATTCATCATGTACCCTCCTGCATCTTCTGCAGCGGGAATATCTGTTTCATTTCTAGCCCACTACTGAAATAGGTTGAGGGCAGGAAAGTGCTGTTTGTTCTGAGGAAATTAGAGGAAAACATGTGGGGGAAAATAGAGGGAAGGAGCACTGTGCACACTAACCTGAACTCTAGAAGGAAACCCAGGATATAAAACCAACAAGAAAAACAAATTCTCACATTGAAGGGTTACCCCATTGCTAAGCATTTGGGCCTCCGTGTAGATATTGGACATCAGTGTAGCTAATTTGCTTTTGTTATTCACTTGTGGAAATGTCAATTTCGTGGTCAATATTCCTATCAACAAACAAAATAAGCTTCTATTGAAGGTACTGGCTTCCAGTAAAGAAATTGAAGGGGGCTGCAATGCTTTAAAAATATCCTATCTTTTTCTTTCATTTTTGCCTATTTGGGGACCAGAAAGCTATTTACAGTGGAAAGCAGGAAATGAAGTAAAGCACTGTGGCTTTTCTACCACTATTATTTGGTCATGGTCACAAGTAACTTACAGGTGAATTCATCTATCCTTACAGTCCTTTCATTTTTGTTGCTAATATTTGAGAAACTCATCCTGTGTATGCCATTAGCCAGGAGCCCAGCTGTAGAAGGCTGGTTCTTTAGGCCTGAGAAAAAGCAGGCAACATCTGCTAAAAGCCTGGATTTGTAAGTGGGAAGGCATGGCAGTGGTGGTGGGACTCCCCATCCATCCCTCAAAGTGGAAGAGGAGACTAAGCGCTGTTTTCCCAGCCAAGATCCTTTTATCTACCTTTAAATGTAAGACGTGTGGGCATACCGTCTTTCCCCGAAAATAAGACCTGGTCTTATTTTTTTCCCCTCCAAAATAGGCAACAAGTCTTATTTTTGGAAAGGGGGGGTGTCTTATTTTTGGAGAGTGAGGTGTCTTTTCCATTCACCTTGCAGGGACAGCCCCACCCAGCCGGCCCATTTCTATGGCCAAAGGAGCAGCATCATTCTTCAGTTGAGAATGGAGCTCAGCCTGCATTTCGCAGTCAGAGGCCTTTCCGGAAGGCCTGTGTAGCCAAGAACCGAGCTATGGATTGAATTGAACAGAGTGGATTGTCTAAATAAGCTATCTCTTTAGACAATTTCTCCTCTGCCTGACTCTTTTTCTTTCTCTCAACCCTCCTCACAAAGCTGAAAGATTGGAGAGGAAGGGATTCCAAGAGAATAAGTAGACAGATAATAGGGAATACCCTGAATTATGTGCTGGCAGCACTGCATTGCTTTTGATGTGTATTCCTTATTGTGTGCCTGCTTATTCTCTTGTAATTCCTTTCGAACAAATGTAAATACAAATCTTCTTTGCTAATTATCCCAGCGTTGGTTTAACCATTACCATTTATCCTTTCTGATTTAATGAAAGCAAAGTCAGGACATCCTTACTGATACAAAATCTAATTGCTTAGGTTATAAATTGGATAGAAACAGCTATAGCCCTTTAGGCATTTTTTTGTTAGACTTTTACACCACTGCAATCAAACGTTTATTGGGAGAACATCATTCAAACATAAACATTCTTGATAATTGAATCATTAAAAGAATTATTGAAAGCAATAAAGGCATTAAAAGTATTATTGAATTAACTGCTTTCATTAAGCCCACTCAGCATAGTAAGTGGTAAAAGATGATGGGATTTGAATCCAATAACATATGGAGAAGTTTGGACTTCCTGGTGTGGCTAATACATATTTCAATGAGCAGATTTGTGGAAGAGAACATGCATCTGAGTGATATGACGTATAATCCATTTTCTTAGGCGAAGTGTTATTGTTGGTGCTGGATACATAGCTGTTGAATTAGCTGGTATTCTTTCCACATTAGGCTCCAGGACATCCTTATTGATACGTTATAATGAGGTAAGGGTCACTCACTTGTTCATCTTCCTAAGTGACAGTTGATAGTACTACCAGTTCTTCTTGGAACGAACATCCACAGGCAGAATACAACCTTATGAAAAGGGCAGAACCAGTTTGCCGTATCCATATTTACACCAGGAGTGGATCATTCACACACTGCATTGCACAATCTTTGTTTTTTAACATATGGAGAGCCTTAACATTTTGCTTTTATTTTTTAAACATTGATAATTTGACAAAAATCTTTAAAACCTCATTATTTTTTCATTTCTTGATTATAATTTGAATTAAACCTTTTAAAATCAAGCTACACTATTTTCTCTTGGTAACTCAGAAGCACTTGCTAATAATATTCTTGTCTATTTATTGGTATCTGTTTATTTACTGCTTATTCCGACAGATATTTTCAATTTCTCCATCTCTTCCTTTTCACATTGTCTTTCCTTTTGATTGAAGTCTATGGCATATTTCTGATTGTAAGATCTAGTATAGTGTAGTAGCTAGAAAACAATATAGATGTAAAGAGAATTTAATCTCCAACCTCAATTTAACCATGAAAATCACAGTGTGGCTTGAGGCTATATTAGTCTTACAGTGAGATTATGAAATTTGAATGACATATGTAATACATTCAGGTTTAATTCTCATTAACTTTGGCAATAGCTCTGTGGCAAATGTCAATTTAATTGTGGAGCTGGATAAATTTGAGTGAAATTTGCATTTGGGAGTTCAGGCTTGTGAGGTTATGATTTAAATGTTATGTGATGTTAATCAATGACAAAGAAAGTTACCATAATTAAATCTAAGTAAAGGCTTTACTTGCAGTCTGATAAATTATTTTTTTGTATAGGTGCTGAGAAATTTTGATTCTATGATCAGTTCAAACTGCACTCAGGAGTTGGAACATAGTGGAGTAGAAGTCTGGAAACATTCCAAGGTAATATCTCTTTAGTGCTGCTTGTAGTGATTAATTTTGCATTTTCATGTACAGGTAGGCTTCGAATTACAATGGCAACTGGGACTGGAGTTGCCATTGCTAAGCAATGCAGTTGTAAAGCATGTGCAATCTAGGCAATCCAATTTGCTGTTGTTAACCAAATCCCATCCGCTCTTCATCAAGGACCCACCTTGATCCAAACCACCCTGGCTTAGTCCCTCCTAGCCTTGAGTCTTGACAAACTAAGGGACTACCTTCTTTTCATCTCCTCCCATCCACTCATCTCTCCCCCTCCCCCCATCTCTGCCATCTTGCACTGTCACTTCCTCAACCTGTGCTCGCTGGCCCTCCCAGACTTGCCACACCCAAGTGATATTTGCCATCATTTTCCTGTGACCGCTGATGAGATGCACATAGCCTGACCTTTCACAAGACAACTGCTGGTTGCCCCAGCCTTCTTCCCAAGACCACATCCACTAATTGTCCAAATTGTGTATGGTCTGTAATGCCTTCACGCCAACATAGCTGAGCCTTTTTCATGCACTTCCCTTCCAAACATTATGACAAGGCCACATGCGATTTGGACAAGGGGTGGGTGCAGCTGCCTCATGGAGGGCCAGGCCAGGTGCGCCTCATAAGCAGTGGCAGGAAGATGATGATGAAAGTCATCAAGACTGGGCAGCAAGCCAGCAAGTGTAGGGCAGCAGGAGCGGTAGGCTGGCTGACGTGGCCAGCAGAGCATAGGGCAGCTAAAAGGACAGATGGGGTTAGTTGAGCTGCCTCTGCAGTCGTTAAGTGTTGGTGAATTTTCAAGTGCTCAAATTTTGATTTCTTGACCATGGGAGCACTGCAACAGCTGTAACCACAAGGACCATGTGGAATTACCATTTTTTCAGCATCACCTTTGGTGTGATTTTGAGTGATCACTCAATGAATAGTTGTAATTTGAGGACTACCTGTATGCATAATTTTTCTTCAATTGCAGCTAAATCGTTCCAACTTCAGTTGGAAGTTCCCATTTCGTTATGTTCTATTGCTTTAACAGTTTCAAAACAATATAAGTTTTTCCAACTTTGTTTAGCTTTATTCTTCTGGGTATCATGTGCCTGATTAACGAAACACTTCAAAGAACCTTCAGGCATTTTTTTAACCTAAAAAGCCTTTATTAGTGTTACAGAGATGTCAGCACGGCATGGTGGAAATACTAAGATCTGAATTTCCCTTCCTTTGCACATAACATTCTAGGCATTTCCCCTCCCCTATTTTGGGGTCATGATTCCCATCTTCCAATTAACTTGGAGGGCAAAGATTCATTTCCCTTTCTTTTTCCTGGGCTTTCCTTATATTCTCCTCCCCTTTCACTGTCACCTGATTTAACTCTAAAAATACCACACAGTTCTGCATATATTGTCAAAGCAAGAATATTCAATATTAGCAGCGTTGACACTGAGTACATGTATATAAATTATCCAAATACTGCCATTTGAGAAAAAGCAAAAACAAATCATCACCATGCATGAGTTTTCTTTCTCATGAACGAACCACAGCTACTGTATTGATAGCTTTCGCAGCATTCCTGAACAGATCGAAAGGAGTATTGCATTATAATCAGGATTACATATTAATAACCTGTATTACTCACTCTGTCAAATTGCTTTGTAAGAATTGAGGTAGTGACAAGTTATTTAGGACCTGAGTTTTATCTGGATGTTGCCAACAGGATTTTATGTCAAAGTTTTGTTTACTTCCTATTTTATACTGGTTAAAAACTATAATAAAGATCTAACTGATTGATATATAACAATAACATTACAATACAGTTCCATTTCGAGGCTTTGTAAACTTTGTATCAAAAACAGTCTTCCAATTTAAAATACCAACCAATCAACATTACTTCATTTGAGAATCAGATTTTAAAAACCCTGGACATTATAGAAGCATAAAAAAAAACCAATCCTGCCAAATAGACTTATCATTTAGTTTAGGCATTTTTGAGCATACTTTTAAAAAAGGAGTATTTTTAAAGAGAAATTAGATAACAAATACTGGCAACTGAGCAAGTTTTGCACTTCACACATAATGATGGTTCTTTACTCTGTAATTATAATTTTTCATGACAGTAATGCAGGATATTTGAGCCTTATCCTCTGACCTCAGTAAACATATTTGGGCCCTCTCTGGCATTTAAGAACTTCAGCAGCCATTATGCTTACCTTTGCTCTTTTTCTTCACGTGCAAGTGGGGTCTCTCAACAAAACTGCATACAGGTACTCCTTGATTTAAAACCATTCAATGACTGTTTGAAGTTACAATGACACTAAAAGAAGTGACAACCAGTTTTTGTACTTATGACTGTTGCAGCATCCCTATGGTCACATGACCAAAATTAAGATTCTTGGAAACTGGCATATATTTATGACAGTTGCAGCATCCCAGGGTCGTGTGATTACCATTTGTGATCTTCCCAGCCAGCTTCCAATAAGCAAAATCAATGGAAAAGGCTGGATTGGCTTAATGATTGTGTGTTTCACTTAACTGCAGTGATTTGCTCAACAATTATGGCAAAAAGGTCATAAAATTAGGTTGGCTCACTTAACACCTTGCTTAGCAACAGAAATTCAGATGAGTCAAGGACTACCAGTACTATCTAATTCTAGCCATAAGGCATATGTAACTTCACAACACCTAGGCATTTAGCAAGAAGGGTATTTTTGAAGAAGAAAACTAGAGTTTGAGCCTTAAAATGAACAATTTGTTGCGTGATCTTGCTCTAGCATTCTTCAGTAATCTTGTTGCTCAACAGATTCAATCAGTTACAAAATCACCTTCGGGACTCTTGGCAATAACGGTTACATCCTCTTTTCCTAATCAAAAACCCACTGTGAACACTATTGAGAATGTTGATTGTCTCTTGTGGGCCATTGGTAGAGAGCCCAATACAGAGGAGCTAAACTTTGACCAATTGGTAAGTGGGAATTTTGTTTCTTGACACTGTATGGAATGTTAAATGCATGGCATACACAATCCAGATTATATTGCAATTGGCATAATGTGGCTAAGGTCAACTGGAGACAGTAGCCACAGGTGACAATGGAATGCTATTTTTTTTTCTTACCTTGCTGCTACTTGCTATTCTGTATTTTTTCCTACTACAGAGAACAAATGTTGTAACAAATGAGGAAACTCTGGGTGGCATACTGAAACATTGGGGGGAAGGAGGGCAAAGACTGTTGAAATTCATGACTCAGCTTCCCCCCCTATGCCCCATGATAATCTTATCCTAACCTAAATATTCATATTGCTTAGATAAGTTTAGCTTGCTTGAAAAACGGTTATGGAAATGTTATTTTTTTTTCCAAAGCTCTTGACACTATGGATAGGCCGAGTACTTGTTTACTCTTTGAAATAATTTTTCTTTTCCTTTATAAGGGCACTAAAAAGCTGATACCCTACTGTTCAATTTGTATCTTGGATAATATTTCTTAGGATGCCAGCTTTGACTTTAATTTTTCTTCCTACTATCAGAATATTAAGGTAGACAAGGCCGGCCATATTATTGTTGACGAGTTCCAAAATACCAGCAGAAAGGGGGTCTATGCTGTTGGAGATGTTTGTGGGAAAGCACTCCTCACACCAGGTAACCATGTTTTAAGGACTATATCAAATAAAGTGCATTTGGGATTGTAAAATGGAACAAAGCAAAATGGGTGAGGAAGGGCTGTGAAGACGTGGGAAGTGTTGCTTGACCACCTACAAACGCTATGTAGTAAAATGTATGGAATGAATTATTATGACAATAAATATTGCATTTTTCAGTTGCAATTGCAGCTGGAAGAAAACTGGCACATAGGCTTTTTGAAAATAAAAAGGATTTTAAACTTGATTATACCAACATTCCGACTGTGGTTTTCAGTCATCCACCTATTGGAACAGTGGGACTAACAGAAGGTAGGCTCTTGTTTCTTATTCATGGGGGGGGGGGAGCAGAGAGAAATATAAGTGAAATAGAACTGTCACTAAGATGAGATACCCCTATTATCTTTGGATTTTGTGACTGATTGGAATTGGGTTGAATAATATATGGAGATTTCCTTTGGGACATTCTCTGTAAAGAGTGGCTTGGTAAGGATGTGTCAGCTCTGAATTTTTATATCAACAGGGTGTTGATAGAAATTCTACTTATATTCATTTGTATTATTGATGCTGTAGATCAGTGGTTCTCAATCTGTGGGTCGGGACCCCGTTTGGGGTCGAACGACCATTTCACGGGGGTCGCCAAACAACACAGTCTGCCATTTTTTCCCCCTTTTCCTTAGCTGTGCTACTCCCTTTTATTCTATTGGCTTTTGAAAGCCAGTAGAATAGACTTTCTTGAATAGAGTCTAATTCTATTGGCTTTCAAAAGCCAGTAGGAATTGTCCAGGCTGTCTCTGCCCTGCTGAGCCCGCCAAAAGTCCCATTCTGCAAACGGTGCTGCACCCGTTGAGTAGTCCTCGACTTACGACCGGTTGAGTAGTCCCCGACTTACGACCGGTTGGGGGGGTCGCGGCATTAAAAAGGTTGAGAACCACTGCTGTAGATGCACAGGTCACTCCCACCTCTGATAGAGTAATATAAATTATGGACTACGGACAGAACCAGTTTGGTGTAGCGGTTAAGGCAGAGGTAGGCAACCTTGGCTCTTTTATGATTCGTGGACTTCAGCTCCCAGAATTCCTGAGCCAGAATTGAAGTCCACGAGTCATAAAAGAGCCAAGGTTGCCTACCCCTGGGTTAAGGCATTAGGCTAGAAACTGGGAGACTGTGAGTTCTAGTGCTGCCTTAGGCACAAAACCAGTTGGATCACCTTGAACAAGTCACTTGCTCTCAGCCCTCAGAACAAGGCAAGAGAAATGACAAGCCACTTCTGAAAAACCTTGTGAAGAAAACCGCAGGATCTTGTGCAGGTAGTTTGAGAATTGGGCCAAAAGAAGAAGAAAAAGCTGAACTGGGGATGATCACACATTCTTCTTGTTTCTCTTTATATTAGAAAGCATTCCCCAAGTTCCGAATACTGCTATCCATCATGCTATCTATTTTATTGTTTAAACATTTAATGGGAAGTATGAATAAAGCACCTCTATTCATAGGATTTCTAAAGCCGAAGTTACAAACTGTGATATCAAGCTCGGTGTTTTGTTTTTTTAAAATAAACAAACTGCACATCAAACCCTAAGATGTAACAAATATAATAGACCTGTGATTGGTAAACTAATGATCTTCAAAAGCTTTTGGACAAGTTTTTTTCATAATTAGAACCACTGACGTGCTTGATTGAGCCATATGTGAAGGACACCAGCTCACCTATCACCAAACTTGTCAATATTTACTTCTTTTGAGATGTACATACTATCCACATTTGATTAGGTAGAAAGCCAACTGTGTGAGTCTTTGCTTTTTCAAATATATCTGATGTTATTTGATTTTGTTCCAGCGGAAGCCGTAAATACTTATGGAAAAGAGAATGTGAAAATTTATATAACTTCTTTCGTCCCAATGTACCACGCAGTAACAGAAAGGAAAACAAAATGTGTGATGAAATTGGTTTGCGCTACTAAACAAGAAAAAGTAAGTAAAGCAGGGAAGAGTGAAGGTGCTGTGTGTTAAAATTGCTTTTCATGTAAATTCTATTCAAGGTAAGGAAATGAGACAGGAAGAGAAGGTACCAATTGTTACTTAATGTGTAAGTACATCACACTCGGCCTTTCCTTCTCGCATAAACTGTAATTAGCTAGGCTCATTGAACCTAACTCACATCAAATCAATATTTACTCCATGTCTGAAGCACTTACAATGAGTTGCAGCGTTTAATACTCTTCCAGGCATGATGTGTTAAGACTGTATAAAATTAAATAAAAACAACACAGCAACACAAAAAAAAATTATAGGTATACAAAATTTTGCTCCTAGTGTAGAAAGGTAGGAGCAGCTGTGAAATGTGTGTGTGTGAGGGGGGGAGTCCTTTTGAAGCCATGTCCTTAACCTGTTTATGACCTTTTTTTTTTTTTTAAGGTGGTAGGACTTCATATGCAAGGCTTGGGCTGTGATGAAATGCTCCAAGGATTCGCAGTAGCTGTCAAAATGGGAGCAACAAAGGCTGACTTTGATCAGACAGTGGCTATTCATCCAACTTCTTCAGAAGAACTTGTTACGCTTCGTTAAGCTGTACATAACATGGCTTTCCCCATGGTGAATTACTTTTTTTTTTTTTTTTTTACAAAATTGTGCAGTTCAAGACAAGTCTTCACTCTGCTGTTACAACTTTATATACATGGATGTAATTTATATACTTGAAAACAATAATTTCGAATTTTAAAAAGTCCCCTTATTTGCGCTTGATTCCTTGAGACATTTTGGATATTATTCATAGTGACTTTGGCATCAGTATAGAAGTGGATCTGTCATTGCTTTCTGGCTTGTTGTTTTCAGGTTCCCTGCTTTAGTGTTTCCTAGTGGTCTCCTATCCAAGTACTGGCCAGACTCAACCTTAGTTAGCCTCTGAGCAGAGACCTGCTGAGAATGCAGTAGTAAAATGTGCCAAAATTCAAGCAAATTATCATATGACTTCATACTTTAACCTCAAAGAGGAAGTAAAATCTAAGAGTAAAGCAGAAAAAAACCCATTTGGGGCTACAGAGGAACAAATGGAGAAAATGCTGCAATTATAAACTGTCTAATAATTAGTATTTTGGTTTATTGAGCCTTGGATTGTGAAAGATGCCATTTCCTGCCTATTGAGAAGGGCAAATGTAACCCACGTAGAACTTAGCCTAGAAGAGTTTAGTAAGAGCACTACTTTATTAATCCATATTCTAAAAGTTTTTTTTTTTAATTTATGCTATCCCCCTATAAAATTAAAACCCAATACATAGGCTATTCTAGGTGCCTTCCTACAACTATTCTTTTGATTTGTTTCCAATAGAAATTACCAATATACAGATATTTGTAATCTAACATAAATTAGGGAACAAGCTTTTTATCACAAGAAGTAAATTGTACAATTATTGCCACATTCTGTAAAGCATAGCAGTAAGAGTTCCCATTCAGTTATAACCTTATTGATATTAATTTCTTAGTTATGAAAATTGAAAAATGTGGATTGGGGAGATGGCTGCATCCTAGGTGATATATATGCAACTGTACTCTTCTGTTTGTTATTGCCGTGAGGCCCAGGAGGCAGTAGGGCTGGTTGCTGTCACCTATTTAGCAGGGAGCACGTATATCTTTTAAGGGATGCTATGAATGCAGGCAACTTTTCCACTGCCATCCCTCTATAAAAGATTTGTATATAATTAAGTAGGTTGTGTGTATATGCTTACTTTTTTTGCCATGTTCTTTATTATATAATACACAACTATATATTCCTACTGCATTTCTGAATCAACAGCCAGTAGTAAGATATTTATTCATTTTCACAAAATATTTTAGTTCAAAATATTAATTCTAAAATATATTTGCACGTAAGCCCTGTATAATATAATGGGATTAATGAACACCATTCCAGGAATTTGTCCCATTGCATTTTTACAAATGCTAAATTAAATGGGATGCATGAATTCTTGCTACACTTGTATCCTGTTAAGAGAATTAGGCTGTTTGCATTTTATGCTCAGTTAAATTCTTCAGTAAGTTTATAGCATCATTTTGCCCTTCATTTCAAACAGATTTTAACTTGAGATTTCAGGTGTACTATTTTAAATTCACTAGTTTAAATCTGAACTCTTTACCCTCTTGGATTACATTTACCAAAATATATATATTATGCAACGAAGTAGATAATTATTTGTATGCATGCTGAAGAGAAACACAAACAGATAAATTATTCCATTTCAGCATATCCATCTGTTTGGAATAATGATCTGCAGATTTATTTGTTCAAATACATCAATAAGATGCAAGCACTTTCATGACAAATATACAGAAAAAAGGGATCAACACAGAACAGTAACCTAGTTTAAATGGAAAGAAAGCTTATGACAATATACTCCCAAGAGATTTCTTTTCTCCAGTTAAGTTACTTATGTCAATAAAATAGAGGGCAATAGGCTTAAGAGGGACATTAGTTTGTACATTTTCATTAAACTTTAAAATGTTAATACATGCCAGTTGAACACTACAACTAAAATGTACATATAAGCAAGAAAGGGAGAAATTAATTACCTCTTCTCTCTGAACAGTCCAGTTACTACAGTTACAGCAGGCAAACTGGCTGTTGGATTGACTGATAAACGGTTTAGTGTGTGAAGTCAGTCTTACGTTGTGCTCAAAACTGCTCATCCTCATTCTGGCACAGTTTGGTCCATAAAGAGGCTTTAGGCTGAGACAGACCTCAACTGATCAAATAAATTGTTGCTTTTTAAAAAAGCCAAGTATACTAGTACTGCTGAAGGCCAGGCTGAGATGTTTATAGGAAGTAGTCTGGGGTACGCCGAGTAACATGAGGCTCTCCGCGGCGAGGTGCTGGATCAAACTGAAGGCTGTGGAAAGAAAACAAAACCACTTCCTTTACTTTTAACTGATTATGAACATATAAACTTGTTTATATGTGATTCTCAGCTTGTAAGGGATATTAATATTGATGTTATATTTATGTAATCTATATGCATATAATCGAGTCAAAATAGGTTTTATGAGTTAAGAGAGGGGTTGTTTTGAGTAAAAAGATGCTTTACCACAAACAAGCAGGGTTTGAGAAGGAGAGTTCTCTAGAGGAGGGTCGGAAGCCAACAAGTAATAATTACATCTGAGACATTTCTATCAGGTTTTGAGCAGACAGGGTGTTTAAGGGTGGGTTGGCAACAACTGGCAGCTCAGACAAGCACTTTCCATTCCAAACTTAAAACCACCTAGATGAGGGGTCTTCAAACTTGGCCCTTTTATGGCTTGTGGACTTCAACTCCCATAATTCCTCAGCCAGGCATGCCGAAGTCCACAAGTCATAAAAGTGCCAAGTTTGAAGACCCCTGACCTAGATCCTTGGGGAAAAAAAACACGCTGAAATGCAGCTATTTTACTTGAGCTTAGGATGTTGTTGGGAAGGGACACGTACAGCTTGTTTTCAGGTACTCTATAGCCTTCTGTTTTGAGCTCCTTATAATAGGACTAAATACCATGCATTAAGAGAAGGTTTAATTTGTAATACAATCATAAGAAAATATTTTGCACTAACTGAAACAAAAGGTACAATTTAAAAGATTTAAAATGACTTTTTATAAAACTCTAAAATTAAGGAGTATCAAACAGATCCAACCTAGAACTAAGAATTAAGTAGAGATTCCCTGACAGTGAGAACAATTAATCAGTAGAATGGCTTGCCTTCAGAAACTGTGGGTGCTTCATCACTGGAAGCCCTTAAGAAGAGACTGGACAACCACTTAATCCGGATGGTATAAGGTTTCTTGCTCAAGCAGGGTGTTGGACTAGAACTCCAAGGCTTGTTCCAATTCTGTTATTTTAAGTTCTAGTGCAGGGGTAGTCAACCTTGGCTCTTTTATGACTCGTGGACTTCAACTCCCAGAATTCCTGAGCCAGCTGTGCTGGCTCAGGAATTCTGGGAGTTGAAGTCCACGAGTCATAAAAGAGCCAAGATTGACTACCCCTGTTCTAGTGAATCCTATTTTAAAAGGCTGTCTTGCCTAATCAAAACTATGTGAAAACACCAGCAAATTCCAATTCGTGTGTTTTCAATCATGTCTTTCACAAACTCTGTTCACATAACATGTTCAACCAGTTTAGTTAAAAAGTAACTATTTGTGCACATCCCATGCTAAATTTGGATAGTATTTACCTTAGTTCATTTGGTTTGATTTTTCTGTTGCAAAATTATAACCTACTGGGTTAATTTTACAGTCTTATTTTTCTGCTAAAATATATTTTGTTAAAACTGAAGGTTCTTACAAGGAATACTTTAAAGTATCATCTAGTTCCATGATAGCAGCCTGATTTCCACAACGGTAACAGTAATTAGGTGCGCTGAAAATAGTGACTACATTTCGATCATGGCACCAGTTGTAGCCCTATAAGGGGAGAAAAATAGTTTCAATAAAACAAGATACATGACTTAACTAAGAGATATCCAATAAACGCCTTGCTTTATCTTTTGCAAATAGGCTTTACTGAAATGTAAAACATTAACAATGCACTCCGAGATGAAAATCTTATTTTAAAATATTTTCTTTAGATCATTAATATCATAAACCTTTGACCTAGGTTTGTATTGTGAAGCACTAACAAATCATCTTTTAAAAAAATGCTCCAATTCACTCATTTAAAAGTTATGCCATTAAGATTGGTAAAATATAAAGCTACTTATAATTGCAAACATATTACAGGATTGACTGGGGAATGAATTTAAAAAATCTGAAGAGGAGACTGGATTAATATATTAGTTGAAATTTGCCCGTATACATATTACACTAACCTTTAACCTACTGGAAAAAAAACAATTATACTGAGACTATATATACTGTGATATTCTGATCCAAAGGCAGATAAATACTTCCAATGAGAGTTATATGTTCACTGTACCAGTCAGCACTTTAAAATTAAATTTTTCTGTGATTTTGCATAGCCAAACATGGTACTACAAAAAATGCATTTCGGTTCAGGAGACGTTAGAGAGACAATAATACAGTATAACTGCTGTGACAAGTATTTACTTGGGAATGCATGACTATCATACACGACTAAGAAAAGGCATGGTTGCTGAGAGGTACAGCTAGTGCAATTGTGCCAGATCTGAAACACCTTTGCCATTTCAGATTTACACGTTACTTCCTTCATATAAACTGTACTTCCCACCATCTAATCAGAGCTGAAGAAGCTTCTTGGATGAGAAGGGAAACGTCTTCAAAGAAAAACAAAGTCCAGTTGCCTCCTTAAAAAGCACCTTTGGGACAAACATGACCCGGATGACTGAGAATCTCCATAGATAACCTTTTTATAAACTTTCTTTTGCCCAAAGATAAGGCACTGAATCTTCAATTGATTGGTACAATATAATTTTACCTCCATTACAAGTTGATGAGCCCGAGACACCAATGTAAGTCCATTGGCATGGTTAAATGTTTCAGAAATATCTTGACCAAATGTGTAGCCTGCACCACGTGGAGAAATCCCCCAGCCACCACGATCATCTGGATCTGACCATAACAGATCACACATTGGACCCTATTTAAAAATGGAAAAAATAGTGTGTACATGTGTATATAACTCCAATATACAGGAACAGTAGCAGCTGCTTCTATATTAATTTTAGTGCCTTCAATTCTAAAAAAATGATACTTTGCTTTAACATTCTACAATTTAAATTCTTCAACAATATGAAAAATACCATAATCTCCATAAAAACATAAGTCATTTTCAATAATATTACCTCATGTGGAACTTCCTGCAAACGATCAAGTGCTCTAATATGATCCAGTGTATCTATAGAAGGAGAAAGACCTCCATGGAGGCAGAAGATCTAATAAGAGAAAAGATGGAAAGATTTAACTTCTTTAAAGCTATACATATGCAGGTTTACCTTAAACCTTTATTTCTTGATTGATTTTTTAAGGCCACCAAACTAAGACAGTGTAACTGAGCAGCCTTCCCTTTTCCTAGCATACCAATATGGAAGATGTTGGCAATTTTTACTTTGGTTTGGATTATCTAAATCATAATGTCAAGACATTAATTGCCGGTGGATAATTGTAGCTTAGCTTAGTAGACACTGTCTTTGAAATTCATAACATTGACTTTTTCCCTCTAACCACCGTTACATTTAACAACTGTTCAGTTTAAGCAAAACAATAAGGTATACCGTATATTCCGGCGTATAAGACGACCCCCGACTTTGGCGCCGAGTTACATGCCTAGAAAGTCATCTTATACGCCGGAAACTACCGTTATTTCCGGCGTATAGGACGACTCGGCGTATAAGACGACCCCCGACTTCAGCGCCGATTTTAACGCGAAAGTCGTCTTATACGCCGGAAAGTACGGTAGTTAAAATTAGTACAACTTCTGATCTTCCTGGGTATTCAAATTTTTAATTACTAGCACATTTTAGATTAATATTTTAAGTTATATCTATCTAGAGCAGGAGTGTTAAACTGCCGGCCCACGGGCCGGATTCATCATACCAAAGCCGTAATGCCACCCCATTGCCGGCAATGCAAAAAGTTGTGAAATGTCGCGACACATCACGTTACATGGTGAGTTTGACACCCGTGATCTAGAGTCATATGGTCTTCTGAATGTTTACTCTTTATTATGGATAAATGTATTGTAAATAAATATGGACATTTTCATTTAATAACATGAATTGAGGATGTGAGATCTGAGGCACAGCATCAGGCAATTATATTACCATGAGACAATTATTACACTAACTTTCACACA